GCAGTGGGAAAATAGTGGTACTGCTGAGCATTATATATGTTCGCACAAAACTCTCTGCAATCGGAACAATGCCCCGTAAGCCAGTACTTGCATTCTCGTATTGGTAATCCTACATCCTTTCCTCCATGTAGCTTCTCCCGACACCCAAGAAGAGTCTAGCCCCTACACCCTAAAACCCTCGACCCTAAACTCTCTGATGGTCGTTGAAGCGCAAAAGCGCTTAACTGGACCGAACCTGATCAGCCGTGTACGTCCAAAAGCTCAACTCCTCAACACAAACCACCCATAGGCTCCATTGTAGTTCCTGTTTTGGGGATACCTTATTACAGGATCCTAATCATAAACCACAAAAAGGAGCAACAATGGAGCCGGAGCGTATGGGTACGGCAAATCTAGGATTCTCCGATAAGCACTTGTTGTGACAACTGTTGGAGGAAGTGCTCCCGAAGGGCGCATCCTCGGATCTAACACGATCTTTGCCCAGCTTACTTGAAGGATCATGGGACGTAAGTAGGGTTATAACTAAGGTAACTATACTTATAACCCCAGTTAGGGGACTTATAACCTTACTTACTAAGTCCCATGGTCCTCCGAGTACCCCAAACCCAAACCTTTGTGTGTTATCGGAAGCCTGGTGAAATCTACGTCATGTCTTAGCTGCGATACTTGAGGCCAGGACAGGTGCCACTTTTCCTTTGTCCATCGCTGGAGGCGGGGAGGTTCAGGGCTGCCGCAATTCATGGTTGAAGCTGGAAGATATTTAGGGCCTAACAGGTTGAGGGTCTTGGGGCTTACGAATCCTCGTGCAGAGTCCTTTAGAACGCTTTCGGGCTCAGCATCCTGCGCATGTCGGATTTTGAGCTCCGGCGATGAACCACAAGTTCGGGTTCTCGCTGTGAAGTTTTCTTTCAGCGTGGTTGCGGCTCACACTTCCGGGTTCATGCTTGAGATTTGCTGAAGGGTTTATATGGTTTTACCTGAGTTCAGCTTGCTCCTGCAAGGTTTTGTCCGGAGACCGTATTGTCTTAGGGCGGGTGGTGTATCAGCAAGTGATCATGACATGTTGGCAGCTAGAAGAGTCCGTTCTAATTGGAATCCTGTGCTCCGACCTTCCAGTTGCTTCCTTGCACGATGGCGAATGACTCGGCAATTTGTTCGGTCTGAACAAATCTTAGGCTAAATGCCAAAAGAGACATGCGGATGACCTCCTCGTAATCGCAGTCACAGTATCAGACCGCTGTGTAGAATGCAGAGTTGCATGCGATAGAATTGGTAGAGGAGCCCACGGAAATTAAATCGCCAGGTGGAGCGCTTTGACAACGAAGCAACCACAGGCTCGAGCAAACGCATCAACTTGCTCACGTGAAGTAGAAAGAGGTAGAGTGAGAGAGAGAGAGAGAGAAAAAGCCCTTGAGAAAGAAAGAGAGAAAAAGAGAGAGAGAGCCCCATAACATATGGGGGGCCCTCACCGAGGGACCTGACCCGTCCCTCATGCCCGGGGGAAGAAGAAGAAGAGAGAGAGAGAGAGAGAGAGAGAGACGGGAGACCACCCGGGAGCAGGAGTTGACCTCAACCGAAGGTTATGTTATTCACTGCGTTCGGTATTTCCTGTCGGGTTTGGAGTTTTAGGACTCATTGTTTACAGTACTGCAAGTTTGGGACTTTCCGATAGTGCTTCTGTTAGGCTAGTGCCCTCCCTGAACAAGGACTTTTCTGGGCATCCCAATGCTGACACCCTTGCGACGTGATATGCGAACAGAATCATTATGACAATTATTCATTCAACGCCGCAACACAAGTGTGTATTGAAGTGTATGACAAGCGTGCAGGTATGTAACCATAGACCCACGCAGACGGTTTGCATGCATGCACCTCCTGTATTCGTGCATGTGTGTGTGTGTGTGCATGCATGTATACATATTTAGTACTGAGCAGGTGGGTATCGTGAACAGAGTAGAATCAGAACGCCGCCCAGCGGTCCATAGATGAGTTTGTGTCGATGATACTTGAACCGGTCGTCGAACCACGTGCTGCTGGAGCTGAAGGAAGGAAAGCACCCAAGACACCTCTTGTGCACCAGCGCGAAGAAGTGAACTAGTGGGTGCAAGAAGGACCCCTCATTCAATCCTGGAAGTGCGGGTGTTCTGCCGACCCTCAGTTTTTACTTTCTTCTCGGTGTATGCAACATTCTAAAGCGGAAGGCCCCTACATTCGCCGTCTACGTTTGGTTGTGGTTGTGGTGGTTGTTGTTGTTGCTGCTGTAGTTGCAGCGCTTCACCGCATTTCGTTTCGGATGGGCAGCCTCGGGAAAAGACTGGACAAACCGGAGGCAGCTCTGTTGACCGAGTGCCCGCATTTCTCCACGAGGACTTGGTCGGGGAAGGGGCCGGGCCTGGGATTTGGAGGTTCTCACGTGCCTTAACGGAAGTTTTCAGGCTGGAAGGGATCGGGCTTGATGGCCTCTTCGTTGCAACTGCTTGCACGCAGTCGACTCCGCAAAATCCTAAACTCAACCCTAAACCTTAAACCCACAAAACCAAAAACTGGTGACCTTCAGGCAGATCTGCTCACGGCTCTAGGACGGGTGTCGGCCTCAAGGAGCTACCAGCGGCTGTTGCAACAAAAACCTGTAATGTAGAAGCTGGAAGAATTACCGATGCTGCTCCTTAGGGTTTCTTAATGTAGCTAGACAAAAATAGACTATGAGAGTATGATGTACTCCAAAGCCCTATTCTAACTCTGAAGGTCACTAGAGTCTGCAATGGTCCATTCGTGTTGCCCTTGCATGCCTACTTAGCTGGCTCCTGGCTCTTCTTTCTTCTAGTCAAATATGTCAAGTTCGACTGGTGCTGACATTCTTGGAAGAGCCTTGGTGAACCTTGTTTAGCATGAGCTACCCGTCTCTCCCTCTCCCCCTCTCTCCCTCTCTTGCTCTCGCAATCTGCATATCTTTGTGCCTCCCGGTGTTGATGCCGTAACCTATCTGTCTGTCTGTTGGGATCCATCCCCTCGCATACACACTGATAGAGCTAGGATGAGGAAGGAATGCAGACAGAGACACTTTAATGCAGTAATTTCGAGGGCCCTCGTCTTGAGCTTATCTCGCATTCCGGCCTGGGCGGTCTGTGGTTGAGATTGAGAATCTGAGTCCCTGCGGATCTTCGCTCCTGCACGGGGCGGAATCCCTTGCTACACCGAGACGACACGTGCATTCTCCCTAAACCCTAAACCCTAAACCCTAAACCCTAAACCCTGAACCCTGAACCCTGAACCCTAGCCTTCGGACCCTCAACCAGGCCAACTTGAAGGGAGAGGAGGCCGAGATCGTCGTGACAACGCACGCGCCTCACCCTCTGTCTGCAGCAGGCAGACCCTAGTACTCCTTGCCAAACTTACACCATCCTAGAACAGCCTTGTAATTACTCAGAGACTCCAATACCCCTCAATTAAGGAATATACCCTCTATCTTCTTAGGCTTCCCATTATAATTTCAGGTATATTCCTGAATTAATTGGTTTTGGAGTCTCTGGGTAGAGCACCGGAGCTTCTTGCCTGGATCTCATGAGGTTGCAGCGGGTGACGCCGGGCATGTTTCATCTGCGTCGCTGGGGCATCAGGTTCAGAAATCCGAGCTTCGGCATGACTTTCATGTGGGGCCACATCGAAGGCTATCTTTTTGTAGGGGCCGTTATAGTTGCCTATACTGTTTTGGGATGTTTTGGGGGGCTCCTTATTATAGTATAATATACCCCAAAACCCTATTCTAACTATCAAGATCCCTAAATTTTCTCTGTGCCTCGGCTCCTGGCTGAGACGGCAGGTCGCTGCTGACCTCGCGAGGCTTCACCGACAAGCATTCAAACCCCCGTAAGGGTTTGGGATTTATGGTTTAGGGTTTAGGTTCAGCTGAAGTTCCACTGAGCGGAAGAAGTTTTGCGGGGCCGGTTCCAGCACCATGCTATGCTGAGACTCAACACAGCAGCATGAATGGTACTGCTGTTACTTGTGTACTGTTGTTTTGTGAGAGCACCATAGCCAAGGTGCAAGCAATCTTTTTTTAACATGCAAGTTCCTGCTGCTACCCGTGCCATTATTGACACCACTCTGTACATTCTTGAAGTTACGACTGTGTTTGCCGGAAACGCACCCAAACGGTAAAGTTTCGGGTGGGATATCCTGACTCTATTGGCTTACAACACACACTCGTTGTTTTAAATGTTTGCTGGGTCCGTATACTTTCTTGTCATGGACAAGATAGTAACTCATCGTATAACAGCAGCCGTCACCAGAGTCGCCCACATCGTACAAGCAGCAGCAGCAGCAGCAGCAGCAGCAGCAGCAGCTCGTCCTTGTCCTTGTCGTCGCTACGCTCGTGGTCGTCGTGGTCGTGCTGGTGATGGTGGCACTTGCTGCCCGATTCTGCTACAAGAAGCAGCAATCACATATCATGCTCCGAGCATTAAGCATAACGAAAAACCTGATGACAACACTCTCGTAAACCTCTCGCTGCTCATCCTAAACCCTAAACCAAAAACCCTAAACCCTAAACCCTAAACCCTAAACCTTAACATCCAAGTTGAAGGCCGGGCGAGTCGGCTGCTTCGCAGGTCTTGGTCGCAGCGCCCTTGGTTACCAGCGTAGGACGGTGTGGCTTAGAGGGCGGCTCAGGGCTGTTTAGGGCCTAGCCGATAGGGACTTAGTGGCAACCTTGTCACCTGAAGTCGCCAAGGTGGCCAATTTGGCTGAGATTGGCCTGGGCACGTGGAGATAAAAAGTGGCACGTGAGCATGAGTTCGTTCGGCACAGCACCACAACTTGTTCATTTTTCCCCGTCCCCCTTTTGGTCTTTCAGGCATGTTGCTGTCGGCGAAGCCTTGGGTTGCTTGGCTGTGGTTCCATTCAGAGCATCCGGCTGAAATTGTTGCTCTTGTTTCAGCCCTTCTTGGGCGTATGATCCAACAGTGTGGCAAGGTTATGCCTGCAAAGTTCGACAGAAGGCCATGGGGGTGTGGAAGCTGGACAAGTTCTCGACCCAGCTTGATGCTGCCAGTCTTTGTGCTGGCGTGACTAGCCTCCGTGATTCTTCCACGTATTGGGAGGCCGGCAAGCCATGAATGCATTGCATCACAGTGTCTTTGCTTCAATGTCGCTGAGGTGTGTGGTCGTGATATGGAAGTCGCCAGGGATGGAACTACCACCGCCGGCGCAGCCCGTAGAAAAGAAAGGCAGTTGGAAGACTCACTTTACCAATCACAGCGCTGCCTCTATGCACGTCCAGTCGTTGGGAGGCACGCAGCAAGCCGACAAGAGACAGCTGAAGGCCATTGTGGCAGGGGTATGAGCTAGCGGCTAGCAAGAACTTCACTTGAGTATTTCTGGACTAGTCATCGTTTTGAAAGCAGTAAGAACAACAATAATCGGGAAAAGAACATGGTGCCGACAACAGGTAACAGTCGACACCGCACTAACACAGCCATTGATCCAATGTTCAGCGGCAGCTTGTCAGGCTAAATCTTTTGTAGACTTGTCAGAGTCATTACTGACCTTGGGTTGACTTCTGCAGCTCTAACCCCGCGCCCTGAGCTTGATGCTTGAATCCCAGAGCGCCCACGAGAGTTACAAGAAAGCTGTGCCTCTTCTGAAGGTGGATGTTGGCCACTAATTAGAAGCCCTGAAACACCCAACACAAGCAACCCCTAACCAAACAGCGCTAAATCCTAAACCGAACAGCCAGAAACCCTAGACCAAACGACCCAGAGCTCCCAAAACCCTCAACTCTAAACCCAACAAAGCCTAAGACCCCTTAACCCCAGCCTTTCTAGCATCCCTCACAGAACTCCTATCGTAACCTTTGAAGTAGTAACCCTAAGCCCTAAAAACAAACAACACCCAAACCCTTATAAGACTCATTCATGAACGACAGAACTCCTATCGCAACCCTTGTAGTAGTAACCCTACACCCTAACTCTAGAAACAACCCACAACCTAAACCCTTATAAGACTCATGATAGAAAAAGTAGCCCTAAACCCTAACCCCTAAAACAAAAACCCTAAACCCTCATAAGACCCCTAAGAGAAAAAGTAACCCCAAACCCTAAAAACAAAAAACTAAACCCTTATAAGACTCCTAAAAGACAAAGTAGCCATTGTAGTAGTAACCCTAAACCCTAGACTCCTAAAAGACAAAGTAGCCCTTAAGCCGTAGCCCGCAGAACTTCGTTCAGGTCCTGGAGCCCCTGGAGATGGAGGTGAACGGCTTAGAGTTTGGGGTTTGAGGGTTTAGGGTTTGGGGTTCAGGGTTCAGGGTTTGGGGTTTTGGGTTGGGGTTGGGTTTTGAGGGTTTTTGTCAGGGTTTGGGGCTCCTGCCAGGGATTCTGCGGGTGTTAAGACGGGTTTTGAGGGCTTTTTCAAGGGGAGTTTAGGGTTTCAAGTGTTTTTGAGGCTTAGGGGTCCTTCTAGAGTGAGGGCTTTGAGGGTTTGCAGGCGGTGGGGGGTTTTGAGATTTTGGGTTCGCTTGAGGGGTAGGGTTTAGGCTCGGGTTGGGGGTTCGCGTTTAGTAGGGTTCCTTGAAGGGTTTAAAGGGTTAGGGTTCCTTTAAGGCTTTTAAGGGTTCTGTACGGGGTGGGTTTAGGATTGCCGGTCTACACTTTCGGGTACTGTCCTCGACCCGAAATAATCGGGTGACCGACACATCACAACAGCTTTGAACCCGCAAGTGGCGGCAATGAGTTGAAGGTAGTGGTGCTTGGTCTTAGGATCACTGCGATCATCACGCAGACAAACACACCAGGAGGGCTCCCAGCTGAAGCAAGTTGTTGCAGCCGTGCGCGACGAGTTCTTGCCTCAGAGACATCCCTTCGAGCCGCCTGCTCTGTCGTGGCTTCCGGACAAGGCTGCCAGGATTGGGCAAGGATGAGCAAGTTGTGGCGACCACGCTTCGGAGGCTTTGCACGTGAGCGCCGGCATCTCTGTTCGATGAAATCGAATGCAGGCGGCTGACAACAGACTTCGGGACAATTTGGCACGTCATCGCAGGCCGGCCTCAGATAAAGCTTGTGAGAAGCAGATGTGCATATCTTTGCGCACCATCAGGGAACAAGTTCGTCGTGGAGGGAGCTGAGAACAGCCGCAGCAAGTTCCATGTCGGGGCCTGACAGTCCGATTTGGTGGACTGGTAGGCACTGAGAACAGATAGACCAATACAGAGAGAAGCGGTCTGGTGGCGATGTACCATTCCAGCTCGAGGCCAGGAAGAAGACAGAGAAGGAGTGCAACAAATGAGAGGCAGACAGAGAGCGAGGCAGCACAAGGTGAAGAGAGGAGGCGAGGGAGTGAGAGTGTCTCCACGGGCGAGATCCGAAGTCGAACTTACAGCATGTGGAGAGGGTTGGCTGGCTGGCCTCGTTTACCCTCGTCAGCGAGCCCCGCAGAAAGAAGCGAGAGGAGAGGTGAGGAGGGAAAAGGCAAAGGAGGGATGCAAGTGTGCACTCCGATGCCTCCACACCGGCCACGCTGCCTCTAGTTTGGAGCGAGGTACAGATCGGCGAGATGAAGGTCCTCGGATTTCAGCATGAGCAGTTCAGCGAGGGGCACCTTAGTTTCAAGGAAATCCTGTGCACGAGCCAGTTTAATGCTGCATGGGGATTTGCGAGTGGAGAGTTGGACCTAGGCTGCTGCCGCACTTAACCCTGGAAAACCTCATCGCAGGTGCCAGTCTAAGCTCCATATGGGTAGTTCTCTAAATTAGGGTCCCTGTTTAGGTCCCCAATATAGTCCGGCACCCTTATAAAAAGTACCCTAACGGGGACCCTAATTTAGAGAACTACCCATATGTGAAATCTTTTGCTGGAGGCTCTTTGGCTGCAAGGTTGACTCCGCTCAGGTCTGCCATATCTTTTAATGATCTTCCTCTGCTTCGCCTACATGGGCCTTTCATCTCTCTGCAAGGACCCATGCTTGCAAAGCAGTGGCACCTTGTCCCCCAGAGGGGCGCAGTCGTAGGGTGGACCCGCTATACCCTAAACCCTAAACCCTGTAATAAACCCCAAACCCTAAAGGCCATAAGCCCTATAATAAACCCCAAACCCTAAAGGCCATAAGCCCTATAATAAACCCCAAACCCTGAAGGCCCTAAACCCTAGACTCTATAAACCCCAAACCCTAAAGGCCCTAAGCCCTACCGCGTGCTCAGGAGGGAGAGCCCGATCCGACGTCTTCGCTCCTGCTGCAGCTGAAGAAGAGCCTGTCCTGCCGGCTCTGCTGAGTCGAACTATAGTACATGGTGTATCTATCTATATTATATATATATATATATGTATATATATATATATATATATCTGTGTATATGTTATGTGTATATGTATATATACACGTTGTGTTGTATATTATATAGTATACGTTACAGGCCATATGTTATGACTTCTGTGTGTTCTGAGCGCTTCGAATGCTCATGCTTAGCCAGACACTCTGTGCAAAAAGTAGCATCCGCATCGTCCGCGGGCTGAAGCACCAGACTTTGCGCACCTGCTTGTTTGTAGCGCTGTTGATGACGGTGAACCCTAAACCCTAAACCCTAAGCCCTAAACCCTAAACCGATGTGACACGCTGACATGGCCAGGTGTGTAGACGACTGGGAAGCATCCCTTCGCTCCGTGGGGGCCTGGCACTGAGTTCACATCTTCGGGGTGCCTCGCTCGGACATGGAGATCTTTCAGAGACGCGTCCTGAATTCGACTGCCGTAAGGTCGTGGTTTTAATCTTCTCGGTTTGCTACAGGAAGATGCACTTGCTGACCGGCAAGAGGAAATCTGCGTAGGAAAAGGGTCCGTGCCTGTGTCACTCCTTGCCTGCGCCTCTTGTGACAGTCACAGCTGGGTCATGAAGGCTCCTTTCATTCACTCGCGGCTTGACATCTCATCGCACTCGCTGCTGTCATGCGCATTCGGACATCCATGACTGGGCTCTCAGCAGCGTCATATCAGAGCTGGAGCACAGCAGGACCTGCTGCAGCCGACCAGGGCAACCTTTGAAACGCCGAGCGACTTTCGGACTTAGGAGACATGTTTTCCGCGGGCTGGAAACCCGATCTTTGTGCCCGTTGTAGTCCCCAACATGGGGAGCACAATGGGCAGAGCCATCTTGAGTGCGTGCCTTCTTCCGCTGTGCGTGCTGCACTTGCAGGGTGGCTTGGCAAGCTGGATACGCCTGATGCTTGTTGTTGCACTTATGTTTCGATTGCTTACTTAGGTTGTGGCAAGCCGAAAGAAGCCTGCATAAAGGGCGACAAGGCTTGCAAGGAGCTGCAAGAGCTTCTTCGCCTCTCGACTGCGCGAAGCTTTCGTGCCACGATCATGATTGTCGATGTCGTTGCCACTGATGCTTTCTGTTGCCAAAGTGAATAATTACTACTAATTACATGCCAACTACTAGTTACCGATTACAAAGTTTGTCCTTCCCATTAACCCTAGACCCTAAACCCTAATAAACCCTAAACCCTAAACCCTAAACCCTAAACCCTAAACCTAGACCCTAAACCCTAAAAGCCCTAAACCCTAAACCGCCATTGAAGAGCCAAGGTGAGACCGACCTCGACTGTCCCAAGCATCCGGACAGTCGATTTATCGGACCTCCCCGACTGACGGTCGTGGGGGAGACCTGCGCCTTGGCTAACATAGGGACTTTAGTAAGTAAGGTTATAAGTCCCCTAATTGGGGTTATAAGTATAGTTACCTTTGTTATAACCCTACTTACTACCTATAGTCTCCACTGTAGTTGCTTTTTGGGGATACCTTAAATAATCCTTACTTCGTAATTGGTTAAGCCAAAGAAAGGAACTACAATGGAGACTATAGTTAGATAATTACCAAGACTATTTTTTGGCGGGGTTCCTTCTCAAAAATATAGTATAAATGGCCCCAAAACCTTCTTCGAACTATTGAGCCTAAACCCTAAACCCTAAACCCTAAACCCTAAACCATATAGGAGATCGGAGAGGAAGGGCAGGGCTCATGTAGGGGCCTTGATAACTACTGAGGAGCGCCGCAAAATAATTATTAAGGCCCCTACATTACAGAAGCAGCAGAAGAAGTAGCAGTAGTAGACGTGGAAGTAGAAGTAGCCTAGAGTAGAAGCACACGTAGACATGAGAGATATTGTCATGATCATTTGTGTTGAAAGGTAGCGCCGTGGAGTTCCTGTACAAAGGTCCGGCTCTTAGATGCACAGATCCCCAGCAGCCAGCCTTATTCAGCAGCTCCGCTTGGCTCCTGTCCTCAGGTGGCTTGCCGATAGTGTACACCTACGCTCGGCAAGCAAAGGACTCCCTGCCAAACGCTGAGCGCGTGTTGTAGCATTCCGGCGGAAGTTTCCTGAACCTGAAACTGTATATATATTTTCTCTATGATCCCGGCTCGGCCGGCCCCCCCC